ATTATTTTCTATTTGTTCCTTCTATTTTTTCCCTCTGATATTCTTTTTCAGACATTTTTAGTTTCTTTGAACATTTTTTGTACCCCTTTTAAATTTACCTAACCTACCTATCTCTTTGTATCTTTTTTAGTGCTTGCTCTAGGAATTACATATACATACATAACTTTTTCAGTCTATTTAGACTCCATATCTTACCACATCAAGTAGAATGTAGAAACCTTATCGTCACATATTCCCCTTTACCTTCCCCATTTTATGTTTCAGTTGTCTTATGTATTATGTCTACATACATCAAAAACTCTAGCAATATTGTAATTTTTAGTTTAAAACATCTAACATATTTTAAAGAACTCAATAGGAAAATAATAGTCAATTATATTTACCCAGATATTTACCATTTCTGTTATTCTTCCTTCATTTCTTAGTTCCAGTTCTCATTTTTTTCCCCCAAATCTCATTTTGATATCATTTCCCCTAGACCATCATAATTCTTAGAACCATGAATCATGAGAGCTGATCATCTGATTTAATTCCCATGTTATAAACAAAACTACTGAACTGTGGTCCTAAGGCTGTCAGTGAAGTCTGGTACCCTTTCAGGACACACTGGGGGATTCCGCATCTTCCCCTAACATATTCTAAATGGATCACCCACAGTTCTCTGCTCCTCTGGCTTTTACTTCAGGTGCAACATCAGCTACTTAGAAGAATGGCTTAAAGATAAGAATTTGCAGAACAGCTTGGCCAAGGAAACTTTGGAACCTCTCTCTCAAGCAGCCTGGTTGCTTCAGGTCAAGAAGACCACGGACAGTGATGCCAAGGAGATCTATGAACGCTGTACCTCCCTGTCCACTGTGCAGGTGACTGGGCTTGCTGAGTGTCTTCCTGATATTCACCAACAGATTGTGTAATTGGCATCACTTTTCCTGGCGTAGCCAGCCATGGAGTGCACCTGAGCATGCTTTTTGTGGAGCATAGTACCTACTATGGCCTACTCTCTTATCTAATAAGTATTTATTAAATACTAACTGTAGGCCTTAAAAACACAAAAGCTTATGTGACACATTCCCTGCCCAGTTAACTTAGAGATGTGCATGGTGCGGGCAGGGGCGGGGGGTGGGGTGTGGGAGGTGGTGTTAGGGTGTTAGGGAGGAGGAAGGAGGCAGTAAGTGGGGAATTGTCTTACTGTCATCTAATTATGTGATTTGTCTTTGTTTCCTTCTACACTCTTTTCACTTTGTTTTCTTTTCTTGCAAAAAAATAACACATGGTTCTCCAAGCCACATCACAGTATAAAAGAACTACCCATGATTCCCAACAGTTCCCAAACCAGCTAAACCATTATTTCATGTACAAAGTTGTCTTTTTTCATGGTCTAATACCATCTTCTGTGCTGTTTGCAGATCATAAAGATTCTTAATTCATACACACCTATAGATGACTTTGAGAAAAGAGTGACTCCATCCTTTGTTCGGAAAGTACAGGTGAGATCCTTAAGAATGTGCCTTTTAATTTTTAGTTAAATTGATGTTAATTAACATTATAGAAATCCAGGATTAAAGTACATTTATTTACCAGACATTCACATTAAAGGCACCCAACAAAAGCAACCGTCAGATTCCCCCAGTTCTCAGAACCCATTTTAGCCCCATGGGAAACACCAGAGCCATGACACGTTCTGTGTTCCTTCAGCAGGTCTTGTTTCTTATCGTTTTCTGAGTGCTATGCAAGTGAGCAGAGGCTGAATAGAAACAGCGACCTGTGTACCCATTCTTATTTTAATCCCTAAAGTTTCTTCCCCAATGAACTAGGGCAGCAGTTCTCAAATTTTGGTTCAAGGGTCCTTGGGGGACCTGGAAACCCTTTCAGAAGGTCTGCAAAGTCTTCCTTTTTCTAATTGCATATCTGTGTGCGGCTGACCTTTCTTCCTATATTTCAACCAAAACAACATATCATAGTAGGTTGAATGCATAAACAGATACTGGATTCTATTTGTCATATTAAGTCAGACATTGAAAATATTTACAAAAATATAAAACAATACCACTTCTCACTAATATTTTTGTTTTCAAAAATATAGTCATTTTTCAATCAAAATAGGTGAATATGTGTTGGGTTTGTTTTTATTTTAATGAATTAATATTTTAAGTTATTATTTTAATTTCTAATGTGGTAAACATCAGTACTTAGACCCAGTGAGGGCTCTTTGAAGCCCTCATTAATTTTTAAGAGTATAAAGGGGTCTTGAGACCAAAAAGTTTGAAAACCACTAAACTAAAAAAAGAAGACGAGTATGATAAAAATTTAATACTTGAGATCTACCCATGTTTGGGCTTAGAATTTTGCCATGAGAATAGATAAGAAGAGAAAACAGATGAATTTACAGTCCGTTCTTCCTGTGGGAAATTAACTTCTGAAGTGAAACAGAGCAAATAAATGTTCATGAGAGCTGATTTGGAAGTCCTGGATAGACCATTTCACCTTGGAATTATGCTATTAAAAAGCTCTTTTGTGTGTTATCTCGCACGATTTTGAAGGAGCGTGTCACTAGAGATATAAGTTGTTGCATTTTCCTTACTCTTGACATCCAGATAGCAATAAAGCAAAATGCACTGGTGTCCTCATTTGTTTTTCCTCTGGTTCTAATTTCAGGCTCTCCTAAATAGCCGAGAGGACTCATCACAACTGATGTTGGATACCAAATACCTCTTTCAAGTCACGTTTCCTTTTACCCCCTCTCCCCATGCTCTGGAAATGATCCAGATTCCCAGCAGTTTCAAGCTAGGCTTTCTCAATAGATTATAGCAGAAGAGGGAGTAAATGCATTTTTCCCTCAATAACTAAATGAAGGTCAAATAAGAGGGATGTGGTTTATTTATTGTAATTGGAAATGCTCTGGGATATTATTTAAGGAAGAAAATAAGAATTCTCCCAAATGACATCCTCTGTCACTCATGGTGATGGTGTTGCCATTATCATTTTGTAAAAATTAACACGTACCAGCTGTGGCCATGTCCGGCTTTGGAATCTCAACTGGCTTTTACTAGAACTCCTGAAAGGCTTATATTTTCTTCTGTGTTCTCTTGGTCTAAATCTTGTGACAAGGCTCCACCCAGAGAGCATGAGATCTGGTGACACAGTGTTTCCCAAGTTTCCTAAGGTTCATGTGAAGCCCAGCTACATTTATGAAGCCACAATGGAGTCCGAGGCTGAGTCTTCCAGGAAATAGTTCCACTTGGCCATGATGGCCTACTAAAAGTCCTCTCACCCCATGCCTGTTGATGTGTGGAGGTGAGTTTCATGGACTCTTACTAAAAATGCTCCTACATAAAAAAATATTTATTATCTCACACTCTTCTGATTTTTAAGAGACTATCCAATTTGAAAAGAATCATGTGAAGTATTTTTATGTATATATCTATTTAAAACTAATCTATTGTTAAAGCTTAATTGCCACGACATTTACCATCTTCTCCAAAGGAACATTTCTTTAAATTTTATCTGCCAACATATAACATACCGTAACTTTTTTAAAAACTAGGCTTAAAAAGGCAACCTATATGATTTTCTCTATCTTATCAGCATTCAAATATGTTTTAAACTTTTCTCATGAAAATAACTGAAGAATTATATCAGTTTCTTCCTTTTGAGATGTCTGTGTTTCCCGAGTTTTATGAGAACCAAATGTTCCTAGTACCCCTCACACCTTCTCATTCCTTCCATTCAGAGCGTATATTGTCATTTGATGAGCCCTCCTAGCCCGTGGCCCCAGCATTTTTCTGTAGCACCCCAAGAATCCCAACTGGCCCTTCTGTTTCTGACAGTCACAGGCAATAGGTGTGATTCTGTAGCACACACATATCTTAGAAGTAGAAATAATACATGATTATTAAGCAACATCACCCTAGTAATATATCTTTTCATATTATAAATGATTTAATTTAGTTCATTTACATACATTATATATTAATAAGTGAAAAGTAGAACTTTGTAATATTTTGATCAATAAAATAAATTCTCATACGAATTGGGTTATGTTCTTTCAATTGCTAGGAGATTATATTTTTCTTAAGTGTATAAGTTTTATGCCTTTTTTTAAGGGTCATACTTAAAGATGCTGGAATCTATAGAGTCAGAATATCTCATAAAACATATGTAAGACTTTTTAGAGAGGAAGTAAATATTCCGTAAGTCCTGGCTCAGGTTGTGTCTCCATGGGGCTCCCAGACTGTGCCAGAATGAAGGGCTACTTGGCAGAGACTTGGCTGGGTTTTTGATCCTCACCATCGCCTTCTCCATGTCTTCCAGACCTTTTCTATGCCACTAGGAGCCCATTACCCTTACTTTTCAGCTCCCATTACTCTGGGTTCATGCCTGTTCTACAGCAGCTACTCTGAGCTGTAAGCCAGTAATGTTGCCCATTTCCTCTCCTAGCCCATGAGATCCTGGAGAGCAGGTCCACATATTACTCATCTCTGCATTCATCTTGATGCTGGCAAGGTGGGAGAGAACCACAGGACCAAAATCCTATTGGAGGTGGCAGGATTTCAGGGTGGAGAAAGGGGTGTTGGTCAGTCTTGGAAAGGAGTAGGTCTTTTTGGGGGTTAAGACAAGGGGACCTGCAGAAGCTGAGAAGTTTGCCCATGGAGTAGGGGTAGTGTGGCTACCTTCACTCTACCATCTTGTTCAGTTCTACAAAGCTGAAGGTGGGAGACGTGGCCAAAATCAGTGAGGTTCTGGTGGGATGAGGACTAAGAAGGTGGGAGATGCTGATAATGTCTAGTCACAGATGAATGTTAGCTGTTGCTCAGTGGAGCAGGGCATGGATTCACAGGGTCAAACCTGAACTCTGCTTCCCACTGAGGGCACCTGGGGGTATAGATGGGCAGATGGTTCAAGGGGCAAGTGATGCAAACAGCAGTGAGTGCCTTAGCAGTGAGCAGAAGGGGGGCAGGTATGAAGCAGCTGAGCTGTAATGCCCAGATAAGGAGATTAGACGGATGCAGTCCCTTTCACACCTTCCAGCTGCAGCTCTAACTTCTCACGTTTCTGCTGATCAGTTCCAAGTGTTGACTGTGGAAGGTATGTATGTGTTAACATTTAATTAGAATACTCAGACTTTCTTAAATGCTCAGAGAAGCGTTCAGATGTGTACACTGCGAGGTGTTAACTGTGGTCTTAGTGGTGGAAACCCAGGTGAAGGGTGGGGCTGGTCTTCAATCTGTTCTAATTTTTCTATAATTCACATGCATTTGTTTTGAAATATGTAGATGTTTTGTTTTTTAAATATATTTAGTATTGGCAGCAGAAAAGTTAAATGTCTTTAAAATCACTTAATCAGTTTTAAAAATTGATCCAGGTCACACTTTACATGTCAACATAAGCCTCAGAGTACAGCTTATGGTAGAGGTTTTTGACACTAACCATTTCATAGTCATAGTAAGTTTAAGAGATAATGCCACACTGTCATGTGTTTTATTATCAGTAGTTTATTCTTTTTTATTGCTTGAACATGTCAATTTATTTTTCTAGTCTACTATTGACGAACATTTGGGGTTTTCCAGTTTGGAGCAATTATGAATAAAGCTGCTATGACATTCTTTTCTTTTTTGGTACCAACTTATACTCCCGCCAGCAAGGAATGAGGTCCAGTTCGCCACATCCTTGCCCACACTTCAGATTGTCAGTCTTTTTCATTTTAGGTATATTGGTGGGTAAGTAGTAATGTCACAGTGTGATTTTAATTCGCTTTTAATAACTAGTGATGTTGAACATCTTTTTATATGTTTATTGACCATATGAGTATCTGCATTTGTGAAGTGTCTGTTCAAGTCTTTTACCATTTAAAAAATAATTTTTATTGAGATGTAATGCATATAACATAAAACTCACCATTTTAAAGCTCACATTTCAGGAGTTTTTAGATGTACATTATCTAATTCCGGAGCATTTCTATCACCTTAAAAAAGAAACCCCACACCCATTAAGCAGTCGCTCCCACCTGCTACCTAATCCCAGCCCCTAGCAACCTCGAACCTTTCTGTCTCTGTGGATTTGCCTATCCCTGACATTTCATAAATAGAAACATAATTTGTGGCCTTTTGTGTTTGGCTTCTTTCACTTAACATCATGTTTTCAGGGTTCATCCATGTTGTAGCACACATCAGAGCTTCATTCTTTTTTATTGCCAAATCACATACTACTTTATGGATAGACCACATTTTGTTTATCCATTGATTAGTTGATGGACATTTGAATTGTTTCCACTTTTTGGCTTAAATGCTGCTACAGACACCCTTGTGTCAGTTTTATCTTGGGTACATTCCTGGGAGTGAATTTGCTGGGTTATATGGCAACGACTCTAGCTTGCTGAGAACGGCCAAACTGGTTTCATCTGCGCTTGCACCATTTTAAATTCCCACCAGCAAGTATGAGGGTTCTTTTGCCCATTTTAATTGGGTCAATGAAGCATTATTTTAAAAGGAAAAACTGGAGATACCCTGTATATCCAACAACAGGAGATTGGTTTAATAAATTGTCATACTCCAGAGTATAGAATAACACTAAAGTTATTACCAAAAAAAAAAAGCAAAAAACAAAACAAAACAAAATCTCTAAGTACTTACAGCATAAGTTAGGTGAATAAAGCAAGTAGCTAACAGCCCACTTATATAACTGTCAAAGCTTTATATGTGGTGCCAGAAAAGTCTGGAAAAATACGCACCAAACTAAAGAAGGGGAGTAGATGTTGGATAGGTAAAGGAACTTTCGCTCTGGGCTTTCTATCTTTGACGTTGACTCTTTTAAAAGGAAATATAAGGTGGTGGGGTTTTTTGGTAATTTTTAAACCATGTATTTAGGTGAAACATTTTAAAGAAATTTTGTGCTTGGCATAGGGTTAGGGGAAGTTTTGAGAAGTTCTGTGAACTCCTTCTGCAGAGCAACTTTATGTCAAAGCATGTTAAAATGAGACATTTTTATCTTTTTCTTATCAAAATGCTCATTGAAGTATTTGCTCTAGCTATGAAAAAGTTCCCTTGTCATAAAAAGGATTATTGACAACAAGTACAATAAAATGTTCTCAAATTAAATTTGGCTCATGATATTAATACTAAATGAAAAACATCAAGATATAAAAATATAAACAGTATACACAAACAGCATGACCCCAATAGTACTAAAAATCTATTCTTGTGTACATCAAAATATGAAAAGGAGTCTCTGTAGGCAGTGGATTATAGATGATTCTTTTCTTCCTTACAACTTTTTTCATTTTTCCAGACTTTTTACAATGACCATGTGTAATATTTATGGTTTTAAAATACAATAATCTTTCAAAGTTGGTTTGTAGCTTGCCCATGTTTAACCAACCTGATCTAAAATGCTAGCTATGTGATATGACTGAAGGTTGATATGACTCAAAACTTGTGGTCTGCATTAAAAAATGGTGTTTTCCAAGAATATGCAATGACATGTGAAGATGAAAACACTATTAAACAAAAAACTAAAGTTCAAATTTTGAACTTGTATATAACATATATTTCCTCTTTTTAAATAAGTATACACATATATGCTTATGAAGATACCAGAAGCAAACATAAAGTATTAACAGAGGTCAACTATTTGTTAGTATAGAGCAAGTAGGTGACTAATTTTCCTTTTTCATGTTCTTCTGTTTCCAGTTATTTATAATGAAAACATGTATAGCTTTTACAATTTGAAAGAATTTTTAAATTCAGTTTAGGAAGGAAAACATTATCTCTATCCAGATTTGGAATATTGGCAATTTTTTTCAACTCCTCTTTTTCGTAAGTTCCCATTCTTCAATTCCTTCCCCATCCTGGTCCCTCGGTTCCTCTCACCTTCCATTCCTGCCGCTGCTACTCTGTCCAGAGCTCATTCCCTCTTCCCCAGAACATAATAACCATCTCCTAACCTAATTGATTTTCCTGCTGTACATTCTGTCTCTGACCTACTTCTGGAAGCACAAATGCTGGAATAATCCACTTGAGTGACGTTGCTACCTTGCTGAAAAAGCCGTGGCTCACCTTCGTAATGCTATTACTTGGAATCCTCAGCACGACCTTGTGGCTGGCTGCCTTGGCAGGCTTGGGCAGTGGGGGGCAACATTACTGGACCTCTACCACAGGCTGGGCTCTGGTGGGCAGATTTTTTCGTGCTCTTTAACTCACATGCGACAAAGCAGAGCAGCTTGGTGGTGCCAGCTCCACAGTAAGGATTGTGGAGTCCCACTACATACAGATTCAGGCTCCATACTGATCTCGAACTTGTTTAATCCCTCTATACTTCCGCAAAAGAAACACAGATGTCCTGCCTCCCGCTCAGGGTGGCTATGAGTAGTCAGGGTTGAGTACTCTGGTGGTCAGTAGCTGTTCCCTTCTGATCTCTCACCCTTAAGGGACTGTCCTCTATTCTTTTGTTACTTAGAGATCTTAAGAACTATGCCAGCTGCCTCTTCGCTGTAGGAGTTCAGCTTAATTAATGAACTCCTCTTCCTCCAGCTTCAAGGTGACCTCTGCAAGGTAGACATTTCCCTCAGAGGTGTCCCCACTGCTACCTGCCCTACAAATACATACTTTGCAAACTTGGCTGTTGAAATGTTCAGGGGGGTCATTTCTTTGAACTTTGACATGGCCCAGCAGGGCAGCTGCTCCCTCCCACCCTGACCTCCTTGTCCTCCATCTCCAACTGTGGCACCATAACCCCTCAGCCTCCCAAACACAAACCTAGGAGACATCTTAAAATCTCACTTTCATCTCGACACGTCGCGAAGTCCAGTTCCTTCTCCTTTTTAAGTGTGGTCTACATCCATTCCAAAGCATTGCTTTAGCTCAGACCTTCATCCTTTCTTGCCTGCACTGTGGCCATAGGCTCCTCTCTGCTCTTTCCATATCTCCAGCCTCACCCCTGCCCCCCTTCCTGCTGCTGCTACTGCTGCTATTACAGCCACTCACAGGGCAGCATAACATCTCTGGAGCATTCATTGTATTCCAGCCTTGAGCTAAGTGCTTCATGCGCTATGTCTTAGACTTCCCCTGACAAACCTATAAGGTAGATTTTAAGATCCTCATTTGATAGATTAGCAAACAAAGATTCAGAGAGATTGAGTAATCTGCCTAAGTAGTGGGGCCAGGATCTGGCCAGCCGGAGGCAGCACCTTTAGCCACTAGATGGTTTTGCTTCCTCAAGGTTACCCTCCCTTCAGTGGCCTGGGCCTGTCGCTTCTAGGTGAACAGGCAGGGACCCTGGGTCTGTGGCTGTCATATGCTTAATAAGTAAGTGGGAAGCTGCATTGCTGGCAGGGACACAACACCACATTAACTCAGCCTCATGGCATTGGTTGGGGTCAGGCTTCACCACTGATTCTTTACTCCAAAAGTTTACCCTAAAGGGAAGAGTTTTTTAAGTTTGAAATTATACTATTCATTACAACTATGCTTTCCATTTTGAAGCCCCATAGGATTAATATTGTGCCTATTGTGTCTGTGTCTGCAAACTGCCAAAACAACCAGTTAAATGTAAGTTCAGAAAGCTTATTGTCTGACACTTTCTTACTGATGAATAAATGAGTTGATGTTGACCCAGCATGTTGTAATAAATCAAAGGTTACAAATTAACTGCATATACTTTATCCCACATAAAGAGTTCTGAGCAACTACCATGATAAAGAGATGAACTTTAAAAAGGCTTTTTCTGTTAGGTTTTCTCACACACTTACATCCCTTTTTTATCTCTCTTTTTTAGCTTCACCTTGAGTAAAAGATGTGTGATCAAACCTTTCTAGTTAATGTTTTTGGCTCCTGTGACAAATGTTTCAAACAAAGGGCTCTGAGACCAGTTTTCAAGAAATCTCAACAGCTCAGCTACTGTTCAATGTGTGCAGAAATTGTAAGTGCCACTTTTTAAAAATTGAAGTAGTTACCTATCTTAAAATGATGTCTAATGTGAGGGTCCTGTGACAGATGGGTTGTTGTAGAAACAGTTTACACATACAAACACTTTTAGCAGAGCTGGGCAAGGTATAGCAGTATAGCATGGGATGTTAGAGTGTGGACTCTGAC